AGCTCTTAGGCATGCCTGTTACCACAGACTTCATGACAATTTTCTTTCAGACTGCCAAAAAGGAACAGACTAACAGAAAACCCAACAATCATTTTATTTTCCTTTTAAGTGGGGATGGGAAATGGGAAGATACCAGACTAATTCACAAAGTCGTGACAAGAAATTCCAATTAAAGCGAGAAGTTTTAAGTATCCACATAGAATATTCTTCCTTGTGTAGCAAAACTGCCTTAAATTGTCCCTCTCCCTCCTCAGTCCAATTATTCCTGCCTCTTTCTGCCACTTGCTTATCCTTCAGCTGTATCACTGCAACATGAAACTGTGTAATTGAAACAAGCAGATTGGGGAAAAAACCAAAAGGTCTTCCCCCTTCCACTTCTATTCTTCATGATGATATGCTCTCCCTTCCTTCTGAACAAAGTAACGTTCCCATCCCACATCAAGACTAAAAAAGCCTGTTGAGTTAAAAGCACCGTTCTCTCCAGAGCTTCAGACCCTGCTTGGTTTCTCAGTTTATCTTCACCTCGAATGTTTTCTACAGGAGAGCAAGAATGGCTGATAATCCAGACGTGGTACCATTTGATGGAAGAGATCCAAAGAGTTCTCCACAGACCAAAACTCCAAAACACGGGGTCCCACCTAGAAGTCCAATATGGAGAGCTGGATTAAACAGGCAGGGAGCATTTGAGTGCTGTGCCAAGGCCGGGACAGAAACTGAGAACAAACATGATGGCACATACTTGAGCTGGGAAGAAAGGGTGGAAACACCCCAGGAAGGATGGAGACACCCAAGGAAGGAAAGTGTACAAGCTTGGGAGATGCAACTCCCATGGCTGCCTTCAACTCTGCAGGGTTTTCTCGTTTAACAGAGCTTCATGTTGCAAAAAAACACTCTACCCTTCATTCTCTTATTTAGCTCAAGAGATTCTTTCCCCTAACACATCCATCTATCCTTCCCAAGCAACTGTTTTTCGGGGAGAGTCCGGTACCACATACCCTAATAAGCACTGATGAACTTTAGGACATAAAACAGTGGGGATCAGCTCTGACGCAAACAAGGCTGAAGGGACTTTTTGCATATGCTAAAGCTCTTCAAAAAGTAGAGGTCGAGCCACAGCTTTGCTTTGAAGGTACTGAGACACTCTGTACTTTATGGACACATGGGGAAGGCTTTTGTGACCCAAACTGAGAGTCAATATTCAAGAATGCAAAACTCAATGCTAGGTGGTCATTGGTTAGCAATAGGCCTTGACAACAACCTCCCTCCCAACCGTAACGTTCTTCTTCAGCAAGGTCTCAACACAGCAGGAAAATATCCCCTGCTAGAGGATAAAACCAGAAGGCCACACTGCACGCAGCTGCTACAGGAACCCTTTCCTCAGCAGCACAATTTATATCGCTGCCCTAGAAACAAGTGGCCTGGCATAACTCTGGAGATGGAAGCAGAAGGCAAGGGCAAGAGAAGAGCAATTTTTCAATTGCTCTTACCACTTTAAAAAGTGCCTGTGAAACTAGATGCTCAGCCATTTCTAGCTCCTACCAAGAAATCCTCTTTTTTTTTTTTTTTTCCCCTGACTTAAATAAAAATAGCAACCCAGAAGTTGCCTTCATTAATGCAGAGTCAGGGTTGTCCACAGCATCTACTAAGAGAGAGTTCAACCAGTTCACATCTTCCCATTTCAGGAACTTAAAGATATTGTCCCCTCTTCTCTATTTTTTTTCCAATGCTCACATTCACAAAAATGACATCCAGAGAACATAATCTGAAGCAAGAGGCTTAAACTCTCTTCTCAGTTAAGTTACAGAATAAATGATTTGATTGCAGTCTAAAAATACTTTCAGACATTTCTTCTCTCTGCAGGTAGCTCTCAAACTGATAAACCCACAACAAAAATAGGAAACATTTTTGACATGAATAATTAATATTTCAGCTCCCTTAGGAGCATCCACTGTATCCCCTCACCTGTAGATTTTAATTCAAGCCTGCTGGTACTTCTTTAAAAAGGCATCACAGTTCAAAACCAAGTTATGGTAATGACAGAGTCCAGGGTTTACCAGGCTACCTTACGCAACAGACCCAATTACATGGCCATGACAATCCCTCCCAACCTTCCATTTTTCAAAAAAATAATTCAGGCATAATCCATTTTTTGCTGATGATGAATTTAAGAGGAAGATGAAGTGCCTAAACAGGACCACAGCGTGCCCACGTTAGTGACCTCAATATTCTTATTATCCTTTTAACTAGAAAAGGGATTTGAAGCGTGGGACTGCTAAGATGGCCAGGATAGAGACCAGCAGCCACATTCCTAGGAAGTCTCACACTGGCATAGAGCTCTTACTCATGTTGCTCAAGCAGGAGATCCCACTAGGAATCCGCCAACTCTACCAGCAGCCAGAGGGATGCGGAAAGTTTTATTTCATCTAAAGAGATAAGCAGAAATCAACCTTATATTCTTTTATATTCAGAAGGTATTAGCCATACCCTCTAAAAATAAATAAACGAAAAGCCCACCAAGCCTGTGGTCTGCAGACTCCACACTGTGCCAGAACACCAGCACCCCAACATGTACCACGCTGCTGGTCTTTCCCACAGTCACATCCCACTCCTTTACCAGGATGAAAATAAAAGCAGCTCTCAAAGTCCAGTTACATAGAAGATTTTGGCGTAAATTCTACAGAATATGAAATTACGTCAGATTTTCTCTAACCAAGTTTAGAGTGCAAAAGTCTGTAAGGTGCCACTCTGCCGGTCTTGCCCTACAGTGCTCTTCCACACCTCATCCAAACGATTCTCGATCTCCAACATCAACTTCCTTTAATGCCCATGGATCTCCATAGTCCTTACCACACACCCCCACAACTAAAGACCCTCGTTTTGTTCTCAAAATGTAGGAAGAAGGTAAGAAAGTGATCCTAGCATGCCCAAAAGAAGATAAGCACTGTGTGCTCTTCTCAGATGTGCATGGAGACCACTATGACTGGGCGCACTGGCCTCAGTGCATGTATCCAGAATCTCCCCCACAAGCAGCTTTCTAGACAAAGCAACTCGCTTGCCATTACAACATCCGTTTGATTCCTGGAGGACAATAGGCTAAACCTAACCCCAGAGTGATTTAATTAGTTATATTAAAATAACAACTTACCAGCCTCTCATTATCTTCTGAGGTTCTCTGGTAATGTGCCGCTAAAGCAATGTAATCTTGCGTCTGCTTGTTACATTCAAGACACTTAAGTCCATGCCGCGTTAGTCTCAACGGGTCCGTAAAGAGAGGCAAGGCTGGTTGGGTGTTAGAAGAAATTCCTACGCCGCTTCCTGAAACAGCATTGGGCTTACGCGAAGGAGAGGGGAAGTGCAAACTCTGAGGAGCCAAAGACACTGAAGAGCTCGTAGGAGAGGGTGAGAACATTTGGTCTACAGAAATGGGTTTCATTAGCAGCTGGGAACACTGCATGATAAATCCTTTGCTCTTATGGTCTCTTGCATGTTTGAGCAAGCTACACTTATTAAAAAAAAGTAGCATAGTTGAACACTGAGTGCACATGACCTCGATATGAACACTTCGCCTGCTATAGTGCTGAGTTAGGCTTTTCTCTAAGGCAAAGGAATCCCCACATTCCAGGCAGCAGTACCCAGAAGCAGGTAAATTAATACTGGTGTCGGGTGGAGGGCTAAGGTTTGGGGTGTATATTGGCACCGGATTGGCACTGTGCAGCACTTTATTAAACGCTTCCACGACGACAGGGGCAGCTTTCTTCACTTGATGCACCAGCGGCACCGACATCTGTGTCAGCTGCGTTTGACTTCGCCTCTGCGCGGATGACTTTGCGGTGACAGAAGCAGCAACGCTGTGCGGAACTAAGTTGAGGTTTGCCAAGTGCACAGCTTTAGGAAGGAGACTGGAGCTGGCCGCGCTGGACGGCTGCACCACGATGCCCTGCTGCTGCCGCTTGTTCAGCTGCTGCCCCACGATACCCACTTTTATGGCACCACTGCTGCAGTTTGCCAGTGGAGACAGTGACACCGCAGACACATTATTTGTGGCAATGTCTGTCTTCATGCCATCCAAGTAAGGACTTGCTACATTTGAGAGCTGGATGGCCACAGCCGCCCCGTTTTTGGTGGAATTCTTGCTAGTCTCACTTTCCATTGCTGCACTAGTGTCAGGGGAAGGTAAAGACTTGATAAATTCTTCAGCAGATGAGGTTTCCATGGGCGATCCTTCATAGGATTTGCCCAGTTCATCGTTTTCTGGCAAAATTCTAGTCACAGTCCTTTTAATTTCACCAGAGGACGTCTTGATGGTCTTTATCCTAACTTTGGGAATAGCTGGCGGAGAGCCTGCTGCCATGGAAGGAGAGCCCTTCCCACTGCTGTCGCTGCACACACTTCGAGGACTCTCGGGCTGCTTGCTGACCTTCCTTACCACCTCCAAGGGGCTTCGCGGACTCTTTGGCGACTTCGGCATTTTTGGACTCCCCTTCGTTCCATCTTTAAAAGGACCGGAAGGGTCTTTCGTAAGACTCAGCTGGTCACCTTTTGGAATACATGCAACTTTTTTGGCCTGAAGAGCTACTAACGCAGCCACGCAGGACGACAACTTTGAATGAGTTGGCTTTAACCTCTGGCGAGGTGGTACCGATGAAGATACGTTCAGCTCGGGCACAGAGCCTTTACTTCCTCCTAAATTACTGTGAGGGAGGTCGCCGAACACCAAGCCTTCTCCAAGAAAGCTATTGGTGTCTACCAAATCCTTGCTTGCGTCCACAAACCTTTCTGTTGCTTTGTCTTGTTCTCTTCTGCTCATTTCCAGCCTACTTTCTGGCTGGCAGTGAATTTCCATCTTTTGTTCCTTTTTACAATACTGATCAAACATGCTTAATTCTGGCTCCGGTACTTTCCTAAAATGGTCTAGTACTGAAGCTCCTGTTGGAATATACATTGATGGTGGTGGAAAATACGGACTTTGGGCATGTTTTGGTTTCTCACCAATACTGTTCTCTTTGAATGCATCCTCTGGTTCAGGGCTGGAAATAGGGCTAAACTGACTAAATGTTGGTAAAGGCTCTGACTTGGACTGGTCCAGTTTTTCAGAGTAACTTCTTGAGCTATCACCATTAATAAAAGTTGACTCAAATTTCCCATAATTATGCACTAAAGTGTGAGCCTCTGATGGCAGCTCAGAGCCACGAAACCCATTGTGTAACAGACCAGTCCCGAGGTGATTCCCGTCCTTTTCTGCTTCAAAGGACTCTTGACGACTCGTGTTCTTTACAATAACACTCACGACAGGAGCATCAGAGGGAGGCAGGGAGTGGGACAAGGACACGTTTTCATCTATGCAGATTCCTGCCGATTTCAGGTGATTCTCATTCTCCTCTCCCGCTGATGGAATGGTCTCCTTGGCATCAAGGCTAGTCGGATCGGGGATGTCAAAAGCAGCCAGGAGGTCATCAAAGTCTGGGGTTTTCATGTCCCCCATGATGAAAGCTACAATTGAAAGCAAAATACTTTGTCAGGTATAATTCCCCCAAAGACCTGTTTGCATAAACATCTTACGTGACAAAAAACACAACTACCCAAAATACTAATGCTACAGGGTACCAAAGCTAGGAACATCTGCTTGCAGTTACCTCAACTTCCATTTTAACTATTCTGAGACTGGCTGTCCACGCACAAAAACATTAGCTGTGCAGTGCCCAGCTTTTTCAACACCACCTGCTTGGCAGCAAAGCCTCCGGGCCAAAGCAAGCTCTCCAGGGGAGGGTCACACCACACTGGTTGCTCCAGGCCCACTTTGGGTGGCATCAGCCTGAGCTGCTGACAAGCCATTTTCACCTGACCTGAGTGCAAGAGGGGGAGGTTCTCAAGAATTTTGGTTCTCAACTTGTGTTTTTGCTTCTCAGTCTTCTGCTATGCTGTTTTGCAGGACATCAGAAGACAGGACTTTCTCCTGCATACCAATAGTATCAATTTTAAACACAGAGTCTTTCCCGTAACCCATCACTAGGCCCAAATGGCCCCAATACAGTGGCTGATTGTACCTGAATCATAATAAAAATGATATTCCCAGCTAGTTCTCTAAGGGAAGTAGAGACCCAAGCCGTAGCCACAGAGCCCTGCTAAGGAAATGATCAAGCTTTGATGAGATGCACAACGAAAACTTTGATAACAAAGAGTTATTGAAACATCTGTGTCATGCAAGGGATTCTGTTTTTCCTCCTACACCATTAAATCAAAATGGCTTAAAGTTGGTGCTATATATAGACTTTCTGAATATTTAATAAGCCATTTTTTAAGGCATTTCACTGAAACCCCAAATTTGCATGAGCTGAAGAAAAAATAAAATAAAGAAGACACCCAGAGTGTGTCAACCAAGCTAAGCAGAGCACCAGCTCCTACTTGGAGCCGATCCGGTCTGCACAGGTGCTGCTGGAGCCAGGAGCAAAGCAGGGAGAGACAGGGGCAGCAAGTGCTCCAAAGGACAAGCCCCGGAGCTGTCGCTTTGCTTAATCTACTGCAAAACACTCGGTGGAGATTTACTTGGCTTAAGAGCAGCTCGCTGTGCTTCATCTTAAACTTGTTCTTAAATTAAACCACAAATATGAATGTCCGTGGAGGGCTCTGCAATCATTTACAATTAGACCCCTCGGCAAGGTAGGGCAGCTTTGCATTTAGTTAAGTCTCTGGAAGCCTGGAAGATTATCCATATGCTTCATATCACCAGCAGTTGATAATGAGTCCAGAAACAGCCCAGATTAGAGCAGCTGGCAAAGAGTGTGGAGCTGAAACTTGCCTTTCCTTTGGGTGGGAGAACTTGTGCCAGTTGGGAGCGAGAACTAGGCATCATTCAGCTCCTGAAGTTTCTGGCACGCGCAAATCCTTATGCGAGGAAGACATTTCACTCCTTAACTTGGAATGCCCAAGTGCTACATACAGAAAAATAAGCTTGCCAATCAGTTATAAAAATCTTTTTTGGCCCTTCCCTTCTCACTCCCAAACGCCCATCCGCACCTTTGGGTGCTGTAGTACTCTAAAACATAAGAAGAAATGTGAGGTTATGTGGAGCATTACAAAATAATGCTTTTCTTGGGAGAACTCCCATGTTTTCAGAAAATTTTGCCTACGTCTCCAAGTCCTATAAAAGACTAGTTTATGTTCTTTGCTATTACAAGAGGGAACACAGGTCTCTACCCAAGTGTTTCTTGACAAAATTACTTTTTAAGCTTGTGGTACGCAAAGCTGCAATTTCTCAAAATAAAGCAAATTGGACTCAGGTTCTGAAAAAGACTAAGGCGATACCTTGTCGACAGAAGAGATTTTTAAATGACACAAATTTAACATTTTGCCTAGACACCCAGGGCTTCTTTCTGATCTTTGGCAATAAGGAAAAGGAATTATAATTATGTATCTAGAAGAAATCCACCAAAACCTTCCGCAGACTAGCCCACGAGGGAAGCACAAGCAGCCCTCCTTACATAACGCAAGTCCTTGGCGCTCTAGCTGGTTCAAAGCGAAATTATGAAGGTGAATTTTCCTCTACATGCACATACAAATACAGAGGTTGAGATTTGCAAAGCAATAGGTGAAAGGCAGGTCAACAAAATAAGCCAAGAGCAAGGACTTATGGAGCGAGATGCATGTACTTCAGAGCGCAAAAATGACGTGTTTCTAGCGGAGGCCTGAAACCTAGAACTCTCCAGCTGTTGCAGAGAAATTTTGGATTTGTTCCTGGCAGTCCAAAAAGCACCAGGGCCTTCCACATCGGCCAAATTTCAAGACTCCACGTTCAGCTATGGGTGAGACGAGACGGGCTTCTCGTAGGTGCCTCCGACAAACCTTTTGTCCACAGCGCTATTCCCGCGCGCTTCCCGAGCTCTGCAAGGGCTCCTTGGCAGATTTTGAACCCCCGGGGACATGCTTGCTGGAGGAAAGAGCTCAAGGATGACACCTCATATTAAAGCTTGGAAATACAGTTATACCAAGGTAAGCACCTTAAAAACGGAATAAAAATAGAACTGCTTCTGAATCTGCAGAACAAGAGCAACAACAGGAAAGAAAGTGCCAAGAGTGGCTCTCCGGGCATGGAGAAATCACAGTTTTTAGAAAAGGGCTGCGGGAAGGAGGCCTGCTGGCCGGGGAAGCACACGGGGAGCGGACGGGACGGAGCGGCGAGGTCAGCCGGCGCCAAGCGGTGCCAGGGCCGGGAGCCGAGGGCAG